GTTAGTGGGGGTAGGTACCGGAAGGGGAGGGTTTAGAACAAGTGGACTAGGCTCTGAGCTAGAGGATGGGGTAGGAGGAGACAATGGGGCAAGGGGAGTGGCATTACTAGCCCCACCTCCTCTTCCTCTTCCTGTAGAGGAGGAGTAAGGGGGCGGTAAAGGAATCTCTGACTCAGGGGGCGTGTCCAGAATGGGCGTGATCACGGCCTTGGTGGACAAACGAGTTCTGGCCAACAGGAGGCGGCATTGCTCATCTTGGCACACCCTGATCCATTTTGGCAAGTCATCCATGGCCTGTTTCCAACAATCAATATATGGAAACTGGTCGTAAAGTTCCGGCCTACCAGATACAGCTACTTATACACGCTGCACTAGATTAGGATCAAGACTACCACGTGAAGGCCAGGCAACCACTAAGGCAGGCCATTCCCTGCTCTGGACTAAAGGGGGTATACAATCGGTATGCCTCCAATAATCAGTCATAAAAGGCACTGGGCGACTACTCACATTTCTGCAATACCTCAGCCGTCTTTGACATATTGATCGCCTTTTTCCCTCCGGCTTTCATGCCAGTAATAATGGCTTCCCTATAAGCTTTTAGGTGAGCCATATCAGCACCATTAACATTCCAATTCGGATCTACGTTTGGGTAATGAGCTGCGGCCCATGCTACCGGGTTGGCCTGATTCTGTGCATGGGCCACTTCTTCAAGCGCTTTAATTGCTGCCTGATTAATCCGAGTCCTTTCCTCGTTATTAAACAATGTCATAAGCAATTGCTGGCAATCAACCCAAGTGGGATTGTGCGTTTGGATTATGGAGGTAATCAAATCTGTCATGGCTTGAGGTTTGTCTGTATAAGAGGAGTTATGGGTTTTCCAGTTGAACAAATCCGTAGTGGTAAAGGGAACATAAACAAATACGGGGTCGGCATGTTGTAACTGGCCTTCACCATTAATGTGTGTCGGGCCCGGTGTCAATCGGAGAGGCATTTGATAATGTCGGGGTTGGAGGGTACCGGTCAATTGTCGGGTTAGTATGGGGCTTCGTTGAGGAAGGTCAGTTATGTGTTCCGGTCGAGGGGTAGTAAGACGAGGGGAGGGGACGCTTTTTCTTTACTGAAGGGGAGGTTGGTAAGCAGAATATTCCGGGCCGGGTTGGGAGGAGCCTGACCAGGAACCAGAAATGACGTCAAATTGGGGGTATATTCTCCAGAATGGGGTTCCCCAAGGAGATTATCTCAGATCGGGGTACCCAATTCACAGCCGAAGTCACTCACCAGTTATGGAGAACATGTGGGGTGAAACCTATTGTAAATTCAGCATACCACCCCCAGTCCAATGGGCTCTGTGAACGTTTCAACGGAACCTTAAAGCAAATGCTCCGTACGTTCATGGATACCCAGAAGGACTGGGAAAGGTTTCTTCCCCATCTGCTCTTCGCTTACCGGGAGGTACCCCAGGAGTCCACAGGGTTCTCGCCATTCGAATTACTAATCGGAAGGAGAGTGTGAGGTCCTTTGGACCTCATTCAGGAACACTGGGAAGGAACTGTCACCAGTAACGGTACCCCTATCGTCCCATATGTGCTAGAGTTCAGGGAGCGCTTGGAGACCCTAATCCAGATGGTATGGTCCAATCTCCAGGCGGCCCAGCAACGACAGCGCAGATGGTACGATAGGGGAGCCAGGGACCACAGTTTTCAAGTGGGACAAAAGGTGTTAATATTGAAGCCTGTCCAAAATGACAAACTGCAGGCCTCCTGGCAGGGCCCTTATAAGGTGGTTGAACAGGTATGTGACACCACCTATATATTTGGCCCATGTACTGGAGCGGGCGGTAAACGCATGCTCCATGTTAACATGCTGAAACCGTATCACGAGCGGGCCGAAGAAGTAACTGCCATATGTGCCTCGGCCGCCGAAGACCCAGACAATTTACCTCTACCGGAACTATTAGAAAAAGGGGGGCCCGACACAGAATTAGGGGAAGTACAGCTGGGAGACAGGCTGAGTCCTAGAGAACGGGCTCAGATACTAGAGCTGATTAGAGAGAAAGGGGATACTTTTTCCCCAGGGCAACACCCTCTTCGTCAAACCCCCTACCGCATACCAGAGTCTGTAAAAGATCATATGCGGAAGGAGATTGACGAAATGCTACAGCTAGGATTGATAGAACACTCGGATAGCCCATGGGCCTCTCAAGTAGTGCTGGTGCCGAAGCGGGACGGAACCACCCGCTTCTGCGTAGACTACCGGAAGCTTAATGATAAAACGATTTCCGATGCCTACCCTATGCCACGAATCGATGAGCTACTAGATAAAATGGCCAGGGGCCAGTACCTCACCACAATAGACTTGTGCAAAGGGTACTGGCAGATCCCACTAGCCGAGGATGCCATCCCAAAGTCCGCATTCGTCACCCCATTTGGGCTATACCAATTTAAGGTGATGCCATTCGGGATGAAGAATGCGCCGGCTACCTTTCAGAGGATGGTAGATCGGCTACTGGACGGATCCCAGGAGTATGCTTGCGCCTATTTAGATGATATAGCGATATTCAGCAACTCCTGGGACGAGCATTTAACTCATATAGGAGCCATCCTCGACCGCATCAGGGAGGCAGGTCTAACGTTGAAACCCAGCAAGTGCCATGTAGGGATGGCTGAAGTGCAATACTTGGGCCACAGGGTAGGCAGTGGGCAGCAAAAACCAGAACCTGCTAAGATAGAGGCCGTAGCTAAATGGCCGACCCCTCGCACGAAAACCCAGGTTTTAGCCTTTTTAGGGACTGCCGGTTATTACCGTAAATTTGTGCCCAATTATAGTGCCCTAGTGAAACCCCTTACTGACCTCACCAAGAAGAACCAGCCCAAAATAGTTACCTTGAGCCCAGAGTGTGAGAAGGCATTCCAAGAACTGAAAACTGACCTAATTCATGCACCTGTACTTGCCGCTCCCGATCCAAATAAATGCTTTCTCGTTCATACAGACGCTTCTATGTTTGGATTGGGAGCAGTGCTGAGCCAGGTTGGGGCCGATGGCGGCGAACATCCAGTCGCTTACTTAAGTCGGAAATTACTACCCAGGGAAGTAAGCTATGCCGCCATCGAAAAGGAATGCCTGGCGGTGGTGTGGGCCCTCAAGAAACTACAGCCCTACTTATATGGACAACAATTTGCCTTGCTCACAGATCACAACCCTTTGGTGTGGCTAAACCGGGTGTCAGGGGACAACGCTAGACTGCTAAGATGGAGCTTGGCGCTTCAGCCCTTTGATTTCACCATCCAGTATCGCCCGGGGAAACAAAATGGTAACGCCGACGGGTTGTCCCGACAGACAGAACTAGAAAAAATGATCTGTGAGCACTCTCCCGGTCATCCCCAAGCCGATCCGTTGGGATCAGACTGTGTATGCCGGCTTGGTTCTGGGGGAGTATTGTGGCAAACCCTGCCACTTAGACTACTTATTCTATGCGAATGGGTGAATTTCACCAAGTGAATAACTGCACGAACAGACTTTAATGTTATTTTACTGTTTTATGCGAATGCCCGAAACTACCGAACGGGAGACCACCCCGGGGTGGTCGTGTGTTTTCAATTTTCTGAACGATACAATGTTGCGAAGGGAGTTAAGTACCTGTATGTGTGGCCGCCATTTCGCCTACCGAACACTTGGCGGCGGCCATCTTACGCACGAACAGCGGTACTTGGTCGTCGAACGCCTGGAACTCAAACCGGGCATTCAACTAACCAAGTACCGCTAAGACCTCCAGCATGCTCCGACAGCCCGAATTAAACACACGAACGCCCTGGCGTTCGGTAGATGGATTCCCCTAAACGAGGGGATTCATACGAATGCTAGCAGTCGCATGGATGGCTAAGCTGTTCGGTATTTTTGATTCACTAAAAGAGACCGACCGCAGGGCCAGAATTCATGGAACTGTTTTCGGCTACTGAGTCCCTGCGGTCGGTCAAATCTTTAACGGTCTATAATTCCCGATCCCCTGGTCTGATCTGGGTGAATTTCGAGTATGTTGCTCACCCAGATCAGCCCTACCAGGGGACCCCTTATTTGTCTTTAGGGGACATCCAGAAATTGGGGGAAAATCTGTCCCTACTAATCTGTTTAAGTGCTAATCTAAGGGGAGGAGAGGGAGGTGAGGTGACCGGGTAACAATTGGCTACTGTAATAATTATGAAAGTCACCTCCCTTGCATGGGAGAAATGCATAAAAGCAGACCTGTGAATAAAGCTGACAGTTGACTCCCAGACTATGTGTCGTCTAGTTCTTGGGGAGGTGGATTATGCTGTGTTCCTGTGATTTTGTATGCTGAATCTTTGTGCCCAGCGGAGAGCTATTGGATTAACCCCTGCTCCTCCGCTACACTCTCAAAGGCGACAGAAAATCACTTTGCCAAATTTCAGTGTGTAAAAAATAAATAAATGGACAAGCCCTATATTGGACTTTGTAACTTTCAAAAACACTATAAACATATACGAGCGGGGGGTTCCATTGTACTTGTGAGACATCATTGATCAGAACTGTGAGTGTTTCAGAGCACTAAAATGTATAGGAATGATAATATAATCACTGAAAGTACATTTTAAAAAACATTTATTTTATTTTGTATTTTTTTTTTTTAAATTTGACAATTTTTATTTATTTTGTCAGTAAGCAACGTATTCAGGGTACAGAAAGGAATGGGATAATAATTAATAAGTGTAGATTTGTACAGTTGCTCCTTATACCGGGGGAGGGTACATAACAGAGGGAGGAAGGGGGGGGGGGGGCATCACAGGTTGATACAGACAAGTTTTTTTTTTGTTACAGTAACAGTAAATCCACATTATTTTCAATACGGAACGACAATGGCGATATGTCCCCACTGTAGCGTGTCACTCTATATCTAACAACATATCAAATCAGCATCAGCATCCCACGAATGGCTCTGGGAGTGTGCGTAAGCATACGCAACTTGGAGATGTTGAGGACTTGACAGCTCATTTGCTAGGTACAGCCCCCGGTGCTTTACCCGGTACCTTACCAGATCTCCATGTTTGCCAAAGCTCCCACGTTTTCCTATAGAGCGTAGAGGGGCGGAAGAGGGACGTGTAGGAGGTTTCGTAAATCCACTGCTTTTGCAATTCCTCTAAGAGGTTTGCCTTCTTGGGAAGGGTCGTGGACTTCCATCTCCTTGCTATCAATTGCTGCGCCGTCAAGGCTATGTGTAAGGTCAACTTTCTGACGTGCGGGGGCATTTCTCTAGGGAGGTCCAGCAATAGACACATCTGCGGGGTAAATGGGGGAGAGCTCTGTGTGGCTTCTCTGATCAGTGTGTGGACATCCGTCCAATAAGGGAGTAGCCTTGGGCAGCTCCACCATATATGGTGCATTGTGCCTTCCGCTGCTTGGCATCTCCAACAAAGTGGAGAGGTGGAGGGGAAAATCTTGTGCAGTCTGGCCGGCACTAAGTACCACCGGTATAGAATTTTGCGATGCTGTTCAATTTGGGAGGTGGATTTTAGTAGCTTTAGTGGGTCGGATATGAGGGAGTCCCAGGATATGGGTGGCCCTGCGCAGCCTAGATCGCTCTCCCATTGTTGAGCATATTTTGTGGTGGAAAAGTGGTTGTGTTTCAATATGGAGCTGAGACACATGGAGATCGGTTTACATTGAGGTAGCAATCTTGCAGTTATACACATTTGTTCCCATACAGTTAACCTGTTAGCATCTCTAGAGGTGTCTAAGAAACGTTTCGCTTCATTAGAGATGTAGGAGTGTAATTGGAGGTATGAGTACTGCGAGGACTGTGGGAGCGTGTATTTGCTGGCTAGAGTCGTGTAGTCTAGTAGTTTATGGGCATCAAATAGATGGTAAAGATGCGTTGCACCACTTCGGTGCCACGGTAGGGCATTGAATGTGGGGATAATGTAGGGTATGGCCTTTAGGGGGGTTGCCAGGGAGAGGCCGAGAGTACTGCCCAACCTGGGCCTGTACTTATCCCAGATGTGAAACAACAGCAGTATCTGGGGGGGAGCTGTCGGCAAGTCAGGCCTAAGATGCGACGGTGTCCAAAGTAGGTGCAGGATGTCGTGGTTACCTAGTTGGTCCCTCTCCAGGGAGACCCACTGTGGCTTGGGTGCAGAGATTATGTGGGGGATAGCTGTAGCTAGTACTGCCGCATGATAGTAGCCTTGGACATTGGGTAGTGCTAAACCACCTTGTTTCTTGGGGGCCTGTAAGACCGTGGTGGCTACTCTGGCTTTGCCTCCTGCCCATACAAACTTCCCCATATCAGCCTGAATGGTCTTAAAGTAGGAGGAAGGGAGGCGGAGAGGGATGGTGCGAAAGAGGTATAGTAGCCTCGGTAGTATTGACATTTTGAGTGTCACGATGCGGTCTGTCCAGGACAGGTACAGTGGCGACCATTGTTTCAGTAGTTGACTGCATTTGTTCCACACTGCAACATAATTTGCTGACATAAGGTTCGCAGGGTTTTCAGTGATCGTCAGGCCTAGGTAACGTATGGATTCTGTCCTCCAGTCAAAGTCGTATGTGCGTGTGAGGGTGCGTAGAACCTGGGCAGGGATGCCTATAGGCAGGGCCTGTGTTTTGGCCGCATTCACTAAATAGTATGAGAACTGTCCATAGGTGTGTATTATCTGCATCAGTGTAGGTAGGGAGTCTTGTGGGTTTGTTATGTATAGCAGTACATCATCTGCGAATGCGCTAATCTTAACCTGTTTGTCCCCTAGGTGTATTCCCTTTATATTCTCATTCAAGCGTATGCAGTGTAAGAGGGGTTCTAATGCAAGGACGTATAAAAGTGGGGATAGGGGGCACCCCTGTCTCGTACCGTTGGTAATCGGAAAGGTGGGGGACAGGAAACCTGCTTGATTTACCTGTGCCGCGGGCGAGGAATAGAGTGCAAAGATTTGTTGGATTATTTGTGGGGGGAACCCAAATTTCTCCAGAACCTGTTTCAAGAAGACCCAGCCGAGGCGTTCAAAGGCCTTCTCCGCGTCCAGCGCTAGGAGGAGGCCCCCTCGACCAGGCCTCCCGAGCTCCCTTTGCACCAGGGCCAATTTTCGGGTGTTGTCTAAGCCCTGCCTGCCTCTCACGAAACCTGTCTGGTCGTCCTGTATCAAGTGTGGTAGGATTGTGCTCATTCTATTCGCCAGGATTTTTGCATAGATTTTTGCGTCCGTGTTAAGTAGGGAAATAGGTCTGTAGTTCTTGCATAGGTCTTGGGATTTGTCAGGTTTGGGGATTGTCACTATCGTGGCTAGTAATACTTCAGGAGGCAGGATACCGGTAGTGGCCGTCTGCTGGTACATTTTTAGGAGTTGCGGCGCCAGTGTGGCTCCGAACTCTTTATAGTAAGCGTTGGGGAGTCCATCTGCCCCGGGGACTTCCCTGGGGGGAGTTGCTTAATAGTACTGATGATTTCTTGTACAGTAATGGGTTGTAATAGGGCTTGACATTGGCCCACTGTCAGTTTGGGCAGTGTAATGTCTGCAAGGTATTGGGCTGTTTCCGAGGGTTGAGGGTGAGGTCTAGTGTCATCCGTGCGGAGATTGTATAAGTTAGAGTAAAAGGTTGCAAATGTGTTACTGATTGTTTGTGGGTCAATATGTTTCTTGCCGTCGTCGTCTATTATGTGGGATATTTTACATTGGGTCGATCTAGCCCTGAGCCGTGCCGCTAGGTGTTTGGTGGGTTTGCCGGAGGTGTGGTACGTGGTGGCCCTGAGCCTATGAAGAAAACCGTTCGTTCTTTCCGCCTGTAGTTTAGTAATGGTCATCTGCAGGTCGTTTATTTGGTTTAAGCACGTTTGCGTAGGTTGGGCTTTATTTTTTGTACTGACCTCAGCCAAGGTTTTGTAAGCATCCAGTAGCGTGAGCTGGTGCCTCCTCTTAAGATAGGAGGACCTTCTAATAAAAAGTCCTCTAACTACGGCTTTATGGGCGCACCACACCGTGCTGTGTGTGATCTGTCCTGTCCCGTTCGTTTGAAAGAATTCCGTCAGTGCGGTCTGGATCGAATCTCGAAAGGTGGCCTCCGCCAGGAGCGATTCGTTAAGTCGCCACTGTCCCCGCCCTCTGAATTGAAAGTTATCGTGTAGGTGTAGGTGTACTGGACCGTGATCTGACCATGTGATTTCCCCTATCTTGCAGTCTCTTAATTGCGCTAGTGTGGCATTGTCTAGGAAAAAGGTGTCAATTCGAGTATATGTGTTGTGGACTTTCGAGTGAAACGTGTAGTCAGCCTGTGTGGGATGCAATGTTCGCCAGGCGTCATAGAGTCCGTGTTGTGCCAGTACTTTGGCAATAGTTGTACATGTGTCTGCTATATGTGATTTCCTCCTACCCGTGGGGCGGGCAGTCGTGTCTAAGGTCGGCAGTTGAATAAAGTTAAAATCTCCACATAGGATCAGTCCTCCTGTCTTTACCTCATCTATGATGAGGATGAGAGTTTGTAAGTAGCGTTTGGGTTCTATATTAGGAAAATATGCCGCAGCCAAGGTATACATTGTGTTATTAAACATGCCCACGAGGATGATAAACCTGCCCTTAGGATCCACGATTTTTCTATGGAGTGTGAGGGACGTGTCTTTATGGATGAAAATTGAGACTCCTTTAGTTTTGGTATCTGAAAGGGCGTGGAACTGGGTCGGGTAGTATTTGTTATATATACTCGGAGTATGATCCCTCTTAAAATGGGTCTCCTGGACACACGCAGTGTCAACTCTCTCTTTTTTCAGGTCTCTGAGTAGTAGGCTCCGTTTGCCAGGGGTATTAAGCCCTTTGACATTAAGGGTCGTAATTTTCATAAATGACTAAGTGTAAGGTTGTTGCGGTGGTGGCCCAGTGGGATGGTGTCCCCGTGGATGGAGCTATGTAGAGTAATC